TCCCCAGCCAGCCATGGCAGCTGGGGAATTTTGGGGGTTGAAATCCACTCATCTTTAAGTGGGCAAGTTTGGACAACACTGCTCTAAGGAAACTTGCCGGGCTGCATATGACTGCTTAATTTAGTTTGGCAGCTTTTTAAAAAAAAACATAGGACATGTGCAAGTTACCTTTTAAAATATTAATTTACATATTAGAGAATGAGAATTAATCTTTTTTATTTGCCATTTCTTCTCTAGAATCCTTGGAAATTATATCCACAGCTGCAAGTCACTCCAACAGCGCCATCTGGAAAATGGTGAATAACTTATTTGCTGTTTTCTGTTTGCAGAATCTGCATTTTAGTTATTGTTATTTAAATCATATGGTCAACTGTCAATTTTATGAATGCCTAAGTAAGAAATGCTATTTTTATCAAAACATTATGGTAGTTTTCCCAAAGGATCCTGCATTACTCCCAAGAGCGATTAATACAGTTATCATTTATATTGGCAAGTAAGCTTATTCCTGATTTTGTTCTGGCCCAAGCCTCAGGAGAGATTTGGAGTTTAAATCTTGATGCCCACCAATGTTGGTCTGATGGTCCAACAATTCTTTTTTTTTTTTAATCTATCACACTTGCACTGTTTTTTTTTTCTTTTCTGTGAATGAACATAGTACTTCAGTATTTTACTGCCATATTTTAAGGATATTTATTGATTAACCAACAGAACTCTCTTACCAGGAAGGTCATTTAACTGCAAAAACTGCCCAGGGTCATCAACCATTTCGGTAGAGAGATGTTTTATAAATAAAAACAAGTCTGTACTTTAGCTCTTAAAAGCAACGTATCCCTTCTTTTGCAATTTTCATAAAAGAGTTGCAAGGAGCTTGCATCAATGTTGTCATTTGTTTTATTTTGATGAAAAAGGAAAATTTGAAGAAGTTACTAGAGGTATATGAAATGTTAGGAGAAGAAGAAGATATTGTCAATCCTTCAAATGAACTGATCAAAGAAGGGCAAATACTTAAGCTCGCTGCTCGTAACACATCAGCTCAAGAAAGATATCTCTTCTTAGTAAGTATTTTCCTCTGACTGGTACCATTTTAAATATCTATAAAACCAAATTTCTATGTTTGTGAGGGGTGGGGAGGAAGTTTCAGTGCTGTGGTTTTTCCTCAAAAGTAAGATTTCCAAATTGACTTTCTCAGTTGCCTTTCTAGTACAATGTTCTTAATTGTATTGTCGAAGGCTTTCACGGCCAGCATACGATGGCTGGTGTGGGTCTTCCGGGCT